TTCAACGAGGTGAAGGTAAGAGGTTACACTTGGTGCATGCTGTATCAAAAAAGACTACCTCAGCTGAACGACATTACCACTCGAGCAAGCAGGAGCTAATGGCAGTGGTCTGGAGTATGTGTAGATTGCGACCTTATTTAATTGGGATTAAATTTTTAGTTGTTACAGATTGTCAGGCAATAGTACATCTTAATACCCAAAAGACTCTGAACCCCCAAGTAGCGCGTTGGGCAACGCTCCTAAGTGAGTATAATTTTGATATAAAGCATCGTCCAGGCAGTAGGATGGATCATATTGATGCCTTGAGTCGTGCGCCGACAAGCATGTCACAGGACACTGAAACTGAATTATTGGACGAGCACATGGAAGTGTTTATTGCTATGACCGAGGAGGATCAGGTGATAGCAATGCAGCAGGCAGATGTGAAACTGAAAGCAATCATGAGTATCCTTAGTCAAGAAGAATCAGAACATACAACAACCGAAGCTGAAAGAGTGAAAGATTACCAACTTCACCATGGTATGTTATATAGGAAGGTGACGGTGGACAACAACGAAACAAGGTTATTATGGGTAGTACCTGAGTCAATGCGAAAGAGTATAGTGGTAAGGTTCCATGACTTGGCGGGTCATTTCGCAGTGGACCGGACAGTCAGTAAGATAAAAGAAAAGTACTACTTCCCAATGATGCGCAGATACGTGAAGATGCACATTAATTGCTGTCCTGAGTGCATACTAATTAAAACCCCCCGAGGAAGACAGCCTGGTGAGCTTCACCCCATTACCCCAGGTAAACGACCGTTCGAGGTGATCAACGTTGATCACATTGGTCCGTTTATGAAATCAACAAAAGGTAACAGTCATATTATAGTGTTGATTGACAATTTAACCAAATATGTTAAGCTATATCCAGTGAAGAGCTGTGGCACAGAGGCGGTAGTGACAAACTTACAGTTATTTGTGAAGTCATTTGGGACGCCAAGGCGAATTATCAGCGACCGAGGGACGGCCTTCACGTCTAAGGCATTCGAAGCATTCTGTGTACAATATGGTATTCGCCATACGTTGAACTCGGTGAGACACCCACAATCCAATGGACAGGTGGAACGTGTCAACAGCACCCTAGTTCCGGTAATGCAGTCAACTATGGAGTCGGATCGGACCTGGGATAAACGTATATCTGACATCGAGTGTCATTTGAATAATGCTTATAACAAAACAATCGGTGATACACCTTTTCATGTATTATACGGATATTATCCAAGTTTTAGGGACGGAGTGTTGCAGCATGTGACAACAAACGAGGTATGGGACTCTGCAGCAGAGATTCAAAACAAAATCCGGGAACGCATATCTAGAGAACATCAGCAATGGAAGCAACGGTACGATTCTAAGCATGTCAAGCCAATACGTTATGAGGTTGGAGAAGTGGTATTCATACGCAGACCACCAGAAGCCACAGGGGAGTCAACAAAATTGCAGTTCAAATACCGTGGCCCACTGGTAGTTACTGAGGTACTACCTAATGATGTTTATCGAGTGGCAGGGCTACGCGTCGAAGCTGGAAAACGTTATGTGACTGTCGTTCACGTTTCACATATTAAGGGATATCATCTACCAGCAAATGAGGAACCAAACGAAGACTCAACAGTGATGGGGCATGAGGAAGAAGATATGAAGCATGAGGAAGAAGACATGAAGCATGAGGAAGAAGACATGAAGCATGAGGAAGAAGACATGAAGCATGAGGAAGAAGACAGACCACGAGATGTACCCAATACCGAAGAGATAGAAGTAAAGAAGTCAGAAGTAAAAGACAAACAACCCAAACGTGTAAAGAAAACACCAGCTTGGCATTCATCTTACCAGATGTAAAAAAAAAAAAAAAAAAAAATAAACAAATAAATATGAACTGTTTTAAAATGTTATTATGTGATATGTGCGATATAAGCACTAACTAATTCTTTTAGTAAAATGTAAACTGTTAGGTATAATTAAATATTAAGGATGTAATTAAAATGTAAAGTGTTCACTTAAGCGAGGACACTTAAGGGTCAGGACGCCCGAATGTTATATATGTTATACGCAGGGTAGGGTGTCAGCACTGCATTAGTCATAAGAGGGCGACCAGTGGTGACGACGGGCAGTCAGTCAGTGCTGTGCGATAGTGCCCATGTGAGTGGTTCAGTGTCGGATGCTGACACTTGTGCCAATGCGTGTAATAAACTGAATCTGTGTTATGTATCGTTTATATAGTAAAGTTATTTCATGTTACAATAAAGTGAATCTTGTATAGTTTTAATCAATGAGTTGCAAATTCTATGAGTATATTGCTAACATATGTAACGAATATGACATAACTACATTGATGTGTAAATATAGGCCAGTACTACAAATGTATGAAATAAAAAGAAATATTTACCTACCTACCAAGTTGCGAGGTGCCTACCTGGCTACCTAGGTTCATAAGTATTTATTTGTAAATTAGTAGGTATTAGGCAATAATAGTGATCTTCTCGAATGAATACTTTGGTAGGTACCTATCTAATTAGTTAAAATTTGATGCTGCGACACTACCTACCAGGTTATATTTAAATATTGTTAAGATAACAACACAATATTTGTTTTACATTAATTAATTGTCAGGAGGATTTTTGCTCAAAGTTGGCCCATTCGATGGTACTTGGTACCTATAGACACTGTATAGCTGGTAGGCAGTCTTGTAAAGTATTTGAGTAAAAGTATTTGAGTAAATGTATTTAAATACTTTTATTGTATTTAGAATACTTTTTAAATACTTTTTGAATAAAGGATTTGGAAAGTATTTTAAATACGGTTTTGGACGAATTTGTATTTGAAAATCAAATACTTTTATTTAAATACTTTATCGATTTTTTTTCACTAATAAATGCTTATTTATTATCTTTTTTCTCAGAAATCAAAGTAATATCATGACTAAATAATAATATAGTTATGAGTAATATCATTGAAATTTAGTAAGATTATTCCCGACATAGCCTCCTATAATGCAAAATATTATTGTTTTTTTTTTCATTGAAGCCTATATTAGTTTATTGTGATGTGAATTATTTAAAACTCCAAACTATAAACATAGAACAATAATGAAGCGAAACTCGATCAGCTGATTCGATTTACGACTTTACGTTTACCTATGATATATAAAGTCTGAACCAAAAACGAGCCCATAAATCAACATGATGTTAGATCCACGAACGACGTGCGAAAAGACGAAACTGTCGGAGAAACCGAAAAAAGTCCGGCCGGGAGCGTATTTTGCGATCGACATTGCGACGGCTACGGACGGCGCACGGATATAAACCACCCACCGGCGGCTTCGAGAGATCGTTGGCTACGCGAATCGAGCATTAAAAAAGGGCGAAAAACGATAGAAAACGGTCGAAATAGTGTGAATAATTAAATAGTATACATACGTAATATATACATTAATAAAAATATTTTCACTACAGAAATATAGCATTTATATATAAATTATTTTGTCCAGAAGCTAGGTTTGTTGTGGAGATAAAGGTTCATATAATATCTATTTAGTTCTCATACAATAAATAATTAAAACGATCATTCGGTGATTATTAACTTATCATACAATTATAGGTACCTTGGTTAGTACCAGAATATGGAACATGCATTATAATATATGAACTATTAAGTAGGTATTAACTATATAATAATAATTAATATGTACAGTTTGAATGAGTTTGATCTCATGGTCAAATTTATAGTTAAAATATCAGAGAAAAAGTATTGAACCCAAAGGTAAAACTTAAAACAAATGTATTAAAATAAGTAGGTATTTGTATTTGTTCTTAAATACTTATTGAAAAAAGTACTTTAAATACTATTTAAATACTTTTTAAGTTGATGTATTTGTATCTCTATATATAAATACAAATTAAAAGTATCTTTTTACAAGATTGCTGGTAGGTAGGTATATAATATTAATTTAACAGCTCAAATATCACAAAATGAACTGCACAAACATTAGTCAAAATTCAAATCTCAAGTACTCAAATAACGTAAAATAAAATGTGAAATAATGAATTTGGTGGATCTAATTCCAGTGAAGTATTTTTCCAGCTTTATATTTTCTAATGTTAGGAATAATAAATACGTTATTTCGTAATTTATTTTATTACCTTAATTTTCGTATAATATTTTCCTGTGTAGCTAATATTTTTTTGGATTATTACTCAAGTACGTAACCGATTCCCGATTTTTTTATTCACGTTTAATACTTTCCCGGTTTATTGTGTGTAATTTTTCTCGCGTAAATGTGTAATGTTTTAAATCGTAGATCGTACCGCTGTAACGTGGAGGTAGAACGAACAGAATCATACTGTTGGGGGACCACTTGGTAATTTGTACCTATGAACCGGTGAACCGAACAAAAGTTACCGATTGTTTATAATCCAAGCCCGTGATAACAAGAGTTCCGCTTATCACTAATCGCTTGTCTAATGTTTTCGTAGTTTTTACTTTGCGTGCATTGTGACGGATTATAACTTTTTTTTTAATTTTTACCGTGTGTGTTTGACCGGCTAAACAATAAATAGGTGCTTTTCAAACGTTTAATGTCAATAATACAAACAATACCTATCTCGTCGAATTTGTGACTGTGAAACCAAAAAGTTATAATACGACACGCGATACCTAACCACCCAACTAGGTATTCTGTGGATGACTGGATTAACTACCACGAGAAAACATACACCTCAAAACACACAATATTCGGTCTATAGGAGACCGGAATACAGTGTGTCGTATACATTCCAAGACCGAGTGATCGAGGCTACCCACGTCCATTGATCAAATTTTTTTCCAAAGTTCCAACTGCATACAATACGGACAATTGTCTACTGATACGGTTAACTTAAATATCCTACTTGTCGAATTGGTCTTGGTGTTTGCACTATTATATTAATTATTTTAACTTTATTTTTGATAATAGAATATAACAATACCATGCATAAGTGTATAGTGTGCGGTAATAGATCTATTAAAACTAATGCTAAAAGGGAAGGAGTTAGATATCATGGGTGAGTATCAATTTGTTCTAGAAATTTACTCACTTAAACTGTTGTGTAAAAATCGCACATTAATTTTTGAATCATATTATTCACATGGTTCATTGACCTGGTGCGGGATACTCTGAAATAATTTTGAACCGGTCTAGCCTAATAATTTCTACTTACTGATTATTTTCCTAATCTAACATTAACGATTTACTGTATTCATTGATATATTTTTTTATATAGATTTCCCAAGAACGATAACTTGAGAAGAGAATGGTTTAAAGTTTTAGGGATTGATCGTTGTCATAAATGGCAACGGATATGCAGTAACCATTTTATAGAAGAGAACTATAGAACTGGAAAAAAGCAATTTTTACTTCCAAATGCTATTCCCCAACCTTACAATCGAAATGGTTTTCCTTCTAAGTAATACTTCTTGAACTCTATAATTTAATTTTTCATTTTCAATAGTATTTTTTATTTTTATATAGTTATGCTACTCAAAGTAATCATGCTGAATCTGGAAATAATGGAATTTACCCATTGGAACAAAATATTATAAGGTGAGTTAATGAAAATTGTATTTGACTAGATTATGGTTTTACAATTATTAAAAAGTATAGAAAATTGGCTTATTATGATGAAAGTGATTACTTAGATTCTGAATTTTACAGAGAGGAGAATATTGAAAATTCTACTGTCAATAATTTTATATCACCAAGCTCGTCATCTATACTTCCTGAAAACAATGAAGTTATGCCGGTCAGTAAACAAGTACTAATATTTTTAATAAACATGGTCTATACAGTCTAATATCTTTAACTGTTTTATGATTTTCCATGCTTTTCTTATTGAATATGTAGGACCTTGGTTTTCAACGTCCGGGTTTCTCTTTTTTAGTAATTTAGTGCTTCTAATTAATCATCAGTTATATTTTTGTCCACTTTTATTTATAAAATAATTAGTAGTTTGACCCCCAATATGTGTACTCTTTTTGGAAAACTCACGGGATATATTTTTTAGCCACTACTAGTGTATTTTTAGGAAATACCTACTGTAATTAATCGGGGATCTGTGTGATTCATTTAAGCATTTAACTATAGTGTCAAGGTCTTTTGTGAAAAGAAAACCAGTCCTATTTCCTGAAGTTCCATTTCACAATGTCAATCTTAGCAGTGGTACTATTTTAGAAGTATCATAAAGGTATATAAAATGTAATATATATAAAATACTTTTTTTGTTTATAAATAGAAGAGTAGCTGTAAATATTGGTAATAATTTAAAATTATAATAATACTATCTAAATTACCTGGCATTGCTCGGCATTCCTTTTGGATGTAACACACTGTGGAAGCAATGTCTTTTTAAGTTTAAATGATATTATATTTTAATGAATAGCCATCCCACCCGGTATTGTCTGTGAGATTCGATTGTGATTACTCGATCCGTATATTATCGCGGAGCCCGTGTGGTAAATACGTTAATTAATGGCTAATGCTTACATAATATAAACCACTATTTTGTAAAATATAAAATCAAAATGGTCAACTAATAACTCCCAAACAAAGCTGTGTGTATATTTACTATAAGGAAATAATCATCTTGTAGGCTATTCATTGTATCATAATAAATGAATAAATATGTACACACAACTTGTTTTGCATCATATTATACAGAACGGCCAAAGAGGTACTGAGAATCATCGATTGTAAATATCAATAATTGTTCTTAGCTTACACCTGAACAATATTGCAATGGTTGGGAAAGTTTAGCTGGGTTATGGAGTGTTGTATAGTAGTGAGTAGTATGCTGATTCTATATTATTTTTAAGTCAGTACTTTGTAGTTCATTATTTTGATTACAAAGACATGGAAGGAACCATACCCTCTAGTTTCTACAAAAAATAGTCCTTAGACTATCCTAAATATATAGACTATACAAACTAGACTATTGAATGTTATATCACTAAAATATGTATTTAGCTCATATTATATTTTAATTTGTACTTTATAATTGGCAACCTAGCTGTTTCTAATTTTAATATGAATTTTGTGTTTAAATTTTGAAGGACCATACTTTAGGATCTGGATTACGATGTTCCGTTAAAAACTGCTTTAACAGGCATTCAGAGAATCTTAGTATGTTTAGATGTCCTAAGGATTACACATTGAGAAAAATGTGGATAGAAAAATGTGGAATAAATGAAGATGCTCCTGAAATAGAAATAAGTGCTATAAGAGTGTGTAGTACTCATTTTGAACTAGACTGTTTCACGAATACTGCATTAAAGAACAGATTAAAACCAGGCTCGGTTCCATTATTATTTTTAGATAGTGGTAAGAAAAAAATTGATTTTTTGTTATTTTATTTTGTATTAATTTTGTAATTATTAATTAGCATTATATTATTATAGTTTAGGTAAATACAAGGTTTTATTTATTTATTTATTTTGCTATATGATGTAATAACTTTCCTATTTTTCTTTAAAAAAGAAAAAAATGAACAATATTATAAACTTCTTACGATTTAATATAAGAAAGAAGGTTTTATTAATAAATTAGAATAAAGCAAGCCCATGCAGTAAAAACACTAGTTCAAAACCACAATTCCCTTTTCTTTATATTAATATATATATATATATATTTTTTAATAATGTCAAGTTGCAATTTCAATCTGTAATTTTTCATTAAAACATTTTAATTTTAATTTAAATTTTAATTCATTCCATATTAATTTTCAAAATGCTATCCTTAATGACCTCGGAAAATATAAAACATACTTATTTTTGTTGGATAACCATGCTTAAAATAGTAATTTTTCCTCTTAAATCAGTTAATCCAAGATAATGATTTAGGAATATCCTTTTAAATAATCTTTCTCTGATGTTATATTTCTTTTTTAGAATAAAATTGTATTTAAAATCTATATAATAATTTACAATTAAAATTATTTTTTTCAAATTATTAGCACCTGAGTCAACTAATGAGGTGTCTGTATTCAGTATATGTGAAGATCAATTCATAAGTCCTATAGATAATGAAGCTGCTGAACAGTTGTCAGAAGAAGAAAAAAACAATGAAATAGGTACTAAGTAAAAAATTCTTACTAAAATCCATTTTAACGTGTAATTTAAATCCAACATTGAAATCAAATACTGATAAAATTAATAATCTTACAGATAATACTTCCATGATAATTGACCTTACAATTGATGATTCATCTAATAGTTCTTTGTCCATTACTTTGGAACCAATTGAGGAAAGAACCTCACAATGTATTATAATGGATGTTTGCAATACTGAAGATTTTACAATGGACAAACACGGGTTTATTTTTGAAATGTTTAAGAAAGCTGTACTACCTAGTTTATATTGGAAGAGTGAACATCTTGGTGAACAATATGCAACAGGTTTTTATCAACGAGATACTTTTGATGTAATTGTGAAGAAAGTTTTTTTTCATAATAACCTTGTGCCAACTATACAAATATATGGCAAGAAATATGAATATAAAATGTCTATTACAACAATAAAAGATGTAGACGATCTTTTAGAAAAATTAGACAGCATTGAAAGATGTTATGGTAGGGATGGATTTGTCTTTGAAGAATGTATAGGGTACCGTGAAAATAGTGAAGATAGTATGTGTTCTGGCTGTCAAGGGTTGGTAGAAGATCGATATTTGCAAGGAATGAAAGCAAAAATTGAATCTATACACCATACTATGGAAAGTTTTAACAACAGAGTGAGTTTACTGGATTATCTTAAGTCTTAAAATAAGACACTCGTTCTTTGATTAACTATTAATATTTTTGAAATATATATATATTATTTACTTTTTTTGTCACTATTATTGTTTTAATTGTTTAATTTTTAATTTGTTAAAATTTTTATGGTGCATATTTTGCATATTTTGGCATTTATAGTTTTGTTTCATAATAAAATAATTTAATACGTGTACTCATAGGTGTAAATGGTTTTCCCAGGGAATTAATTTTTTTCTTATAAATAAAAACTACCGACCAAACACAAATTATTATTTAGGTATGGACCTACCTAAGTAAATTTCTTTTATGAGACACTTTTGATGTTAAGAGGACACCACACAGACAGTTGTTGTCTCCATCTTATAAGTGCGTAATATAGCAAATTTAAGCTTAGCAGATAACATTTAGCTCTGTTAGTTTAAAATTTAGAGAGAATCGACTATTATAAAACTTGATGGTAAGAACATTATCTGTGTTCTTGTGGTGTTTAATTTTTTTACGATTATACTGTATTTAAGTGAGTTATGAACCTTTTTAATTTACGTTATATTATGTATGTATAATTTGTTAAAAAATTGAACTATCGTAAACTATGGTAAGAAGATTATCTGTGTTGGTTACACAGATAATTTTCTTACCATCAAGTTTCATAATAGGTCAATTCACTCTAATTTTTAAACTAACAGAGCTAAAAGTTATTTGCTGTGCGTACATTTGTTATGTTATGCATTTGTAGGACAAAGAGGACAAATATCCGTGTGGCGTTCACTTAATTGATTCCTAATTTTCTTACAGATTAAAACTTCCTACAAAATAAAGATATTTTAAAGAAAAGTATTAATAGTAGCGTTTCATAATTTAAAATTAAACATTCAGAAAATAAATGCATTTTTGAGTGTATATTTGAAAATTTTAGTGCATAATATATATTAATATATTTATGAATTTTTAAGATTTTTAGAGCCTCAATAGTTGGTTATTAATGCATAAAACTCCGCCCTCTAGCTATAAGTATTTGAAACTTTAACCAATGAAGTATACATACTCCAAATAATATTATGCTTATGTAAATCAAAATATATGTTTTAATTCAAAAGGTTAAAAAACTTAAAATGGCTTATTGTATAATAATTTTGATAAAAATATTGTTTTGTAACGAGTTAATATTATGTAAATACATTTTTTTTCAAAAACATTTATTTTCTGTAAGAACAAGTGTCATAAGTTAAATGGAAAACACTGTATTTTAATTACTTATTAAAATAATTAATATTTTAATTACATTATTTTATAGTTGGCTGAAAAGAAAGAAACCATTTTAGCTTTAAGAAAAAGAATGGCAGAAATGAAAAATCGACAACGTAGACTTTATACTTTATAAAGCGTTATAAACACCTATAATTTCAAATACACAATAAGCTCAAGAAAACCAACTTTGATTAAAAAAAAAAAAAAATTTTTTATTTATTTCAAAACTATGAAGAATGTGAAAAAAATTAGATTTGATATGTCTTTAATTATAGTATATATATAGAATTATATTACAAAGTTACTTTTTGACATTATTTTTAATTTAATTTATCTTTAATTATATTTTTGATGTAGATGGTATTGGTTCTTCTTGTTCCTTATCCGCTGTGCCATAATTTAATGTGTAGGTACCATAGAAACTGAAACTTTTAGCAAAAATAATAAATTTCATGAACATCATAAATTAATATTATACAAATCAATACCCTGTTATTTTAGATGGTATTACATTATAAGTTGCTTTTGATGATTGTAATAGAGCTAAATATTTTACATCGCGCAATTCTATTTTTATGATTTTATCAGTTTCACTAAGGAATTTATCTATATCATCATTCCATAAGGTCAGTGTTATCTAGTAAATGTAAAAATATTAATGGTTTTTATTGTTGAAGCCTTGCTTTATCGCTGTCATCAATTAAATGTATATTATTTTTTTTTTAATTTAAAATTTACCTACTGTCTTGTTTTGTTTTACGACTATTACGTCAAGTTTATTTTTAAATTTGATGAATTCAAACTCAAATTTTTTTATGGTACTGAGATCACTTGAATATGCCCTTCGGATTGACCCATTGGTTACAGAGTAAATATTTTGGATCTAAAAATATTGAAATACATATACCTATAAATACATATACCTATGGAATATATTTATTTGAATAATAAAATATTTTTCGTTCTAAACATACTTAAAAAATACGGTAAAATTTATCAACCATGAATCCGAATGCTACACATCTAATTTCAGAGCTTTCATCACTTAAATCTATATTGAATACTTTATTTTCTCCTTGCGAATTTTGAAATTTTCTAATAGAGGTTTTATTTATGACCCATACTCTAATTGTCCATTTACAAACTGAATAGTAAAATTAAATCTGTCATATAATAAGCTTTCTTCTTTTTTAAAAACTTTTTTAATTAACATGAGTAATTTATATATAAACTGTGTACGTGGAACCTATTTTTAAATTTTCAATCCTTAGCTATAAAAGTTGAACATTTTATACATTTTTAACTACAAAATAATTATTAAATTTGAAATTTGATAAATATTTAGTCAACATTTGAACTTTCAATGCTTATAAAAAAAATGCGTGCCTATGTATTTTTAATATTTTTCAACTGCTATTGTAACAATATAATATCAGGTATTAATTGCATTACATTTTTACACATTTTGGCCCAACAGATAAGACTTTATTGATATTCATAGAAAAAAAAAAAAAAATGATAAGTTTTTCGTTTTTGAATTACAACAAAATAACAAAACCGCTACATGAGAAATCAAGTGAATGTCCAGTATGGTAAGAATATGAACATCAAACGCTCAAAAATATTTATTATATATATTTTATCTATGGTATTAAAAAAAATTGACCTATAATAGGTACCTATAATCAATTCCAAAATAATTACATTAGGCACTTATAACGCGTTATACATAAAAAAAAACCCTGATACTATCATGGATATATAATAGTGTACTTTAGAAGTTTTAAGTACGCACGAATAATATTATACAATCACAACAAAATAACTAAAATAGTTATTCTAGGTTTTTTATGTAATTTCGTAAAAATTTGAACTTAAAAATACTATAAAAATAAACTGCTATTAACTTTATTTTTAAAATTTTTGGTAACAGAATTTACTACTTACATGGAATCTTGTTTTAAATTTTCAATCCTTAGCTATAAAATTTGAACATTTTATAAATTATTAACTACAAAATAATTACTCAATTTTAAATTTGTAAATTTTGTCAAAATTCGATCTTTAAATGCTTATAAAAAAAACTTGTGCCTATGTATTTTTAATATTTTTCAACTGATATTGCAACAATATATCAGGAGTTACGTATTAAATGTTAACACTTTTTGGCCCAACAGATAAAACTTAATTGATATTTATAGAAAAAAAAACCAAGAAAAGGTGGGCAAGTGGTTGTCGCTCTGATGTACAGTAGGTAACAAGTGGGTCACTGTATATTGGATGATATTAAATTTGAATTCAACGATCTAATATCATTGTATAAGAAAAACGATTCTGAGCGGAGTCATTCATAATATTGTCGTTCAATGTTTAACATACGATTCGTATTGTATTATGTTTTCACAGATCTCGGTGTTCCCGGTAATTTTGGGTTATAAATTTTAAATTTCCATTTTTAAAAGCCTATATAATATAGGTACCTAAACTGCAATGTTATAGCTGCTAAACTTTATTATCTTGTATGATAATTCGTGTAACAATGGTTATAATATTTGGATTTCTGCAGCCATGTATGGTTCGTTTCGGTTATTAATAACTAAGTTTATTAATACTCAATAATTTGAATGGTATTCTATTAGATAATTGATATGAGTGTACCTTAAATTTATTTCGCTGGACTGTATGACAGTCACTATTAAGACGGTTATTATGAGAAAATGATTTACTCATCTAGCGTTGTGTTATTATCTTAATATGCTATTGTTATAACAATTCTTTGTCTCTTTTTATTCGTAATAATTTATCTGATGAAATATTAAGACAAATTTTCCGCCGATTATAATGTTATTTCTCCCTCACGTTTAAATTTTCCAGATCAATTTTAGACAGCACTGTTATAATAATATGTACACAGTCAAATGTATATGGACAAATTTTATGGTTAATATTATAGAATTGTAGAAAATTAAGAATTTAAACGGGATTTTTTTTTTCTTAATTTATATTATTTCATTATTTGCTAAGCGATTAATTAAAACGTCGAACGAAAAAGAAAAAAAACGGTAACTTCTCTATTAAAAATATCTATCTTGTTACGAAAAAAAAAAAAAAAAAATTGGTACTACAACACGATTTCATGGGTTTCGCTCGGAGTCGGTATGCTTTATTACAAGCTATATATATCTATATATAGGGTATATTTCCGTGGTTGTCATCATGTACGTATACCCCCGCCCGCCTAAACATGTATTATAATATATTAATATACTCCTCTATAACCTAACCCGAGTCTCCTGCCAAACTCCAACATTTACATAACTATATTTGAATACCTAAAGGAAATTAGTGGCATTCGACTTTTAAAATATTTACATAAATTAGCTCTATAAATTGGCTATAATATCTCTGATTTTTGAGAAACACGAAAACAAATATTTTAATTTTAAGCAAACCAAAATACTATATTATAATATCATTATGTTTTATGAATTATAGCAACTATTTGTTGATATTCCCTAATACAGTAATAATAACCATCCAAAATCATAAATCAAAAACACCGTCCAGAAACAATAAATTATGTTGACGGTATGAAAATCACTGCGAGACGCGTCCTGTACATGCATATTATACGTGCACTGAGTATTTGAATAGGTAGAAAAAACACACCTATAGAACATCTATTATGTGCAGCACAATATAAACAATATGTGAGTACCTATATTATAATTATAGTTAAGGAGATAATGAATATAATATCGGGTAGGTATATACATATAATCGGTCTATGCGTATAGTAAAAATAATAAAACGGAGTGTAGATAATCAGTAGGTACAATTTGAATAATCTCTTATCATCGTTTTCATATTTTAAGCTTTTATCCGACTAGACACATTTGCACAAGTGCACTTAACGCCAATATACATAATATAAGCCAGCCGTTGAACCCGTACACACGTTTGTACTTATACCTGGATATTACTATTTTTTTCACTTTCAATATTGTAGGTAGGTACTTTTATTATAGGTCTTTTCATTATCGTCTGCGCACTTGGTGTCCGCGCACAGCCCGGATGTAGGTACGGAATTTGAACAATATTTAGGTTTTTGCGTTTTCTTACTTACCGCCGTCTTATCGAATATTATACCTTTATTTCTTCAAACGCGCTATTATATTATGTAGGCATAATTTTTTAGTCAAACTAACTACATTTTATCGTTTTCTGCTCGTGGCGAACACAGCATCATCAGTATGGATTTAAATTGGATGAACCAAATGGTATTATTATTTATTGATGTATGTTTGATTGTGAATAGATTATTAGAACCCAAATTTTAAAACAGAGTGCAATTTTGGGGAGGGGAATGCTCAATGGACAATGCATTCCAAATACTTCATTCGTTTCATGTAGGTACCTAATACCTATACATAACAGGTACCTACCTATTTGATGACAGTTTTATTTCGCATTTCTTAGCGTTTTCAGGTTACTTTATTATTTCTTACTAACACGTCACCGTACGAGCTTTAAGTATAGGTACATAACAAAATTCAAAATATTAATTCAAGAATTTTTTCTTTCATAATATTTGATTTGAAGTATTTTTTATCCGTACCAAGTTACATAATACTGTTCTGCTAATGAATGCGATAACCTATTTATCTGTCTATACAGCGATTATCGAGCTTGGTGTCTTATAGGTACTCAAACAAATAAGAACTAATTGGTCAGTCGAATTTAATGACGATAGTTTAACCATCGGTTTATTCCTCTCACTTGGGTGCCTCCTATAAAAAAAGGGATATTTTGGGTAAAGATAGTTTGACATGAAGTGTTGATAACTCAACTAACTTAGGTCAACTTAAGGTCATTATTATTGCATTAAAAATTAATTTCATGTTATTTTTAGAGAGAGCAGTTTTTTGATAGTTTTTAGGGCAATCCGGACTCTGTAATCATGATTTATGATGATTCGGTAGCAACATGTAGCGAATGCTTTGAGTTGCTCGGTAATGGATACACGCCTAGTAGTGAAATGAATGTTAAATTTTCACTCTGGAGGGAATATATTAATATAGTTATTAGTTATTACAATATATTTTGTATTACAACTGAGCTAAAAAAAAAAAT